GAGGGGAGGGATAATCATCTGTCTCCGTCACATTCGCTACAATGTTAACAACAAGGCAATCAAACTCTGCGGCCTCCTGTCTGCTGTTTAATCACACTGCTGTGTTGCCGCAGTTACTCACCATGACAATACTGTGCCTTGTTTGCTGTGACATCATCTCGCCACCCTCTGTCGGGTAGGAAAATCAGCAGTAGCCTGTGGAGACAAAAATGCAAAAAGGAACTGGTTAATCACTGGCACACAGCCCCGAGTCATGTCACAGAAAGTGGTGACTTAACATTTTTCTGTAAGTATGGTTGACCCTGGCAAGCAGCCGGGGCATCGCCCAGGTCATTAGCAGAGCTCCCGTGTCTCTCTCACACAAACACACATGCACGGGAAGCAACCCGCTGTCACCTCTGATACAGATGACCCCTGACAGGAGAGGAGCTCAGTGAGGCAGCCTGTCAGCCGCTCTGCTATGTGTCTGGCTCGTCTCCCTTCAGCGGACATCCAGCATGTGCCTCAGGTCTCTCCTCCTCGTCCATATCCACAGCAATTTACGGTCTGGCTGCCAGAACAATCATATTCTCGTGTGACAGGTTTTTTTTTTTTTTTTTCTTTCCTTCAGGTCAGCAGTCTTGAATAACCATGTTTTACTCCTACAAACTCCCCGGTGGCTTCACTGCAATAATGTACAGCCATATTCCCTCACGCAGTTTCACAAATACGGAATGTTAAAACAATTTCTGCTCTCTCATAATGAGAAAACATCAGTCTTTTTCTTGTTTTTTTTCACCCAATAGAAGGCTCATACTGCAAGACTGATCTCTCCCCCCCCTCCCCCCAAACCTCCTCTGCTGTGAGTGTGTGTGAGCGTGTCTAATTCCGTTGAGTGTGTTGTCTCTGCGGCTTTTAACAACAAAGCATCGCTGTTTTCTGATGAACGATCATCCCCGCCAAGTTTTTTTATTGCTTTCCGTAGATTACATCAGCTTGTAGTAAATGGTTTTTGCCAGGGAAATGTGTGATCCTAATAAGAGTACTTTAAACCATATCTCAAGACAAACAATAGTCTTGAGCTGTTGCATGGTTGATTTTTTTTGCCCACAGCTGTCATCAGCATTTTTCATTCATGAATTAAAAACCCGAAAGAGACGAATTGAATTGATAGCGATGTAATTATAGCAGTAAGAAGATAGGATTGTAGGAAATTTGGACTTTTTAGGAATCTTGATGATAAAGAAGTAAAGGGAAAGAGCAGCAGCCAATTTGGGGGAGTGTACGTACTGGATGATGGAAAGAAATAAACACATGAAGTAGAACTGATGATTATGAAAGAGTTATCTGCCAAAAGAATCACACGGCACGTGGGCGTTGTATGAAAGAAGTGAAAGGCTGTGAGATCATCGCATTGTGTTTGACAGTGTCTTTTTGATATATATAGATTCAACCTTAGTGGTAACAGCCTTGAAAGAAAAAGGAGCGCTTTCTTTGGACCTTGTGAAGATCAAGTGTGAACAATCTTGCAAACACACCCTCATCTGTTGGCGTTGACAGATGGGGAGCTTTAGCTGAGGTTAGACGGAGGGCTCCCATTAGGAGGAAGGCAGCCATGGAGGCTTTGGAAGATTTGATATTCCAGCTGCAGTTTTATGTTGAATAACGGGGACCTATTTTCCCACACACATGCATACCAGCGTACATATAGGGACATGTCTTCTTATTAACCAAACAACTATTACACGACAGGAGCAAAACATGTCTTCAGAGGTTTTGGTGTAAACACTGTCGTCGATTATGTTACAAAAAAGTCGATGTCAACCGCATCTGGAGTGACAGCTAAATACTCTGATACATATAACTGCAGTTATATCAATATTCAGAGCCTCTTTCTGACACTGGCGACTCCTAGTGGTAGCAATATACATTAACACGTTCCTACATCTCAAACCCCACGCCACAAAAAGACACCTCAACCTTTCACCAGGATAATATATATATATACATATATATATATATATATATATATATATATTTTTTTTTTAGAAGCACAATCATTACGAGTTGCATTCAACTTTCTCGGCCCAGCTAGTCACTGTAGATTGCTGTTCACCAATGAGTCTGATTGAGCTCCAAATTTCTGCCTGTTACGAGGGAGTTCCTTTTTTTTTTCTTGCCACTTATGCCAAATACTTGCACTTATAGAATTAATGTTGGGTTCAAAGTAAAGTGTCTTTGGATAACTCTTTTTTTGTGATGAAGCGCTATATAATTGAAAGAGATTCCTTGACTTAAAAGAGTGATGTAAAAGACGGCCAAATGATGTAAGAACTGACCCTTAAAAATACACTCGATTAGACGATCAAGAATAAAAAGCAACAATGTGTAAAACAAACCTTTGTACCGGTAATATATTTGCAAAGTCCACTAATTGCGTTGGGACATTTTCTCTTTAGCAGAAATCTATTCACCCCCCCATGCAGGGATGTTGGAAACCCCAGCCCCAAACACTTAAACCAGTGATAAAACTGGAAACCATTTTGTTTCGAGGGAAATCAGGAAGTCATTAACAAACTGATGCATTACTACAGAGCCATAATGGCAGGCAAGCTGATACAGATCCATCAGCCTGCCAGGATGGAGGGCACGGGTCGATAACACCTTCTCAGAGTGTCTTCCTGGCAAGTGCTGCCGCCTATAATGAAACCTGCAAACAGACAAAGAGAGGGAGGGTCTTGCACCGTTCCGACCTCGCCCCTGTGGTGGAAATCCCATTATCATTAAGAGTCCGCGGTAATGTGAAGGAGGCTTTGAGCTGCTGACCAAGCTGGAAGAAGTGTATTAACAGGCACTTTCTCAGGTGTCAGGGGCCCCCGGTTTCGGGGCCTCCGCTAATGTGATGTTAATAAAAAAACAAAAGGTGGGCTGTGGGACCCCTGAGAGCAGCCTTCATGTGTCTCTTGTATTCCTACAAATTGAGGCGGTGCACTGTAATATACATACACCTGCCGGCATCAGCAGAAAACACACACACACACACACACACAGGTGGTGATATGAACAGTTATGGCCGTGCTGCCGGGGTTATTGCTCTTGGTATATTTAATGATGCTATCAATGGCCGGGTTGAGCAGAGGTGCATGCTGGGATGATTCACAAAAGCTTGGTAACTATCCAAACTCCGAGGACTCACTCACACAGAGCGCACATGTTCGCAGACATAATAAACACTGACAGTCTCATCTCTTCGCCTCTCTGTCTCTCATTAGCACACAAACACACAGATGTTCGCTGTTTTTTCGCTAAACTGCAGTATGTGTTGTGCGCCCTTTCTCATGAGGAACATTATTAGCCAGCTGTTCAGTCCCCAGCTGCTGAGACTGTTCTGTGGGTTGTTGGGTGCTAAAACACACACTCTTGCTCAAACACACGCAGACACAGACACACACAGACAGTGTAGAGAGGGGCTGATGGAGAGAGTAGCGTTGTGCCCTGCAGGTTAGGAGCCACAGTGAGAGGCCAGGGGAGGTTTCTGACACTGTTAACAGTCTGATGTTAATCAATTAGCAGACAACCAACTGAGCTAGAGCCAGCCGTGAACTTCCATTACACCCATAGACACAGAGAGGTTCATAATCTGAGGTCAAATGGAAACAATTGGCAATGATTATTGCTATGTTGTTGTAAGCTAGCATGGATGTTACAGGAATGATCTTTTACACGTCTGACACGTCTGTATTTGCTTATTTTCCTAATCATAGTTCTTGCAAGGCTTATGGTTACAGGGTTGTATTTGTGCACATTGCCGGAGGGTGTGCAAGCATGTGTGCTTCGTATATGCATTTTAAACAGGCAGGCCAGATGAGCCACGCTTCCCGGGTCAGGTCTATCTGGGCTCAGCTAACCTCAACCTCCTCACAGCTAACATCTGCCGGGGTCAGACAGGCAGCACAGGGAAGGCTCATCATCAGCTGGATGCTGGTGTTCATGTTCCAGCTAACTACTGGCAGGAGACGAGTGTGTGTGTTTATCCATGCAGGACCGGCTCCAGCTCTCTGAATCAGTCCATTTTGTTTTAAATCTAGAGTTGCCTCAGGCTAACAAGCAGTGTAGAGTTTGGTTACACAACATTATATATTGATCAGTCCAGCCTTTTTTTTTTTTTTTTTCACCACAGCATGGTGTTCCTGTTATTTTGTTAATCAAAGTGAGATTGAAAAAAGTTCATAGTAAGGGGAAACTGTCCAGCTCATGGGTCTTTTTTTCCAGCTCTATCAGTTATCTACATGCTGGATCATCGTATCCTTGTTTCTAGTTTGAAATGTGACCGTCAAAAGTCAAGATTTATGTCTGCTTTACATTAGATTTTATTTTCACTTTGTTTCACAAACGTTATATTCCTGATCCTTTATGTATCTGCCAAACACAGACTTGCATTGGATTCCATTTAAATATTATTGATTTTTTTAATCCTTAAATGAATCAATTTACAATAAATTACAGATCTGTTAATTCCATATTCAGCCCTGATGTCACTTGGATCCTCTTCGCAACAACTTTTCCCAGTTCCTTTACTTTAATGTAAAAATCTAAAGGTGACTGGGTTTCTCCAGTTGTGACTGTCAGGCTTTGGAAAAGTCTCCGGTTATTAAAAAGTTTCTCTTCATTGAGGATTTAAATTCAAATTTAAAGACCATCATTAGTTTTGTTTTAGTTTGATGCTGCCTGTTCAGCCACTCCTGATCTGATTTCTAGTGCCCTGCCTTTTACTTTGATGATGTTTTTCTTAGTTTCTTTCTTCTCAGAGGAAATATCATAAAGTTCTGATAGCTGTTATTGTTATTGCATTACATCATGTTTTGTTTTACCTGTACTGAGGTGCATCGACTGTAATCAAGCACACTTGATCGACTCCTTTTGTCTTTAAATTTGCTCTATGACGTGACTTGACTCCTATATCACACACCACAGTGTCCTCACTAGTCAATCTTTTTTCTCTCCTGTTTCTCTCTCTGCAGGAGACTATGTGGTGCTAACTGTCTTCTTTGACCTGAGCAGAAGAATGGGCTACTTCACCATTCAGACCTACATCCCATGCACCCTGATTGTTGTCCTCTCCTGGGTCTCATTCTGGATCAACAAGGATGCCGTACCTGCCAGGACATCATTAGGTAAAAAAAGACCAAACGTTACTTGGGCCCAAAGATTTTGATCATCTGTTGTCACTGCAGCTAGTAAGCACTTAAAAAAAAAACGTGCAGTAACAGAATATATTTTGATGTAGCATAGGTGAGTTTCTTTAAATTATTGCTTAAAGAGGTCATATGCCCTTTTTGGGGTTCGTATATTTAATCTATGTACCTACTGAAGTATGTTCACAATAGCTAAAGTTTGAAAAAAGTGTCTGTTTTCATGAACTGCCGCTCCATGCACCTGCTCGCTTCTGACTCTCTCTCTAACGCTCTGAAGTGCCCACGTTCTACAGTCCCCACGTGTGCCAAGTCTGATCTGATTGGTCGACCTGACTGCTCTGCCGTATTTGGTCAGTCGCTCAGCACGGTTCTCAGAAATGTCACGCCCCTTTTACCATATTGGGAATGCAGCTACTTTTGCTCCGAGGGGATCATAAACATTAGCACCGTACAGCAGGCTACGGCATATCGTGGGCGTGCTACAGAAGTTAACGGGCGTGCAACATGAGCTGCTGGGCTTGCCACAACGAGCCAATGGGCTTAGATCAGTGATATCACACTGACAAGACGTCACACTGGCACAAAAAATTCGAGGGGGGCTAGAACCGAGCGTTACATGCAGCTAATGCTGCAGCTAACAGGAGGACGTAGGAGGACGTAAGAGAAGCTGCGTTTCCGCGGACTTTGAATTTTTGCACATAGATGTGCCAAAACATGCACAGGACACATGGAAAACACACTAAAGAGCATATAAAACCAGAAAAAGCATAATATGACCCCTTTAATTGTTTTCTTATCTTTTTTTAACCGAGACTTTACAGAGTCTTCATTCTTATCGGCTTACCTAGCCCAATCAAACATATGCTGCGGTTGTATCAGTGAGGTTCATTAGCTATCGTGGTCTTAATTACTCCCTGCTGTGAAACAGATCAACAACATGGTGGTCATTTCTCTCTCTCGTTTTCTCTTTCACCATCGTTCCTCCTCCTCTTTTCCTCCTTTGAGACAGGGCACCTGCTCAGGAATCTAGTCTGTCTTGATTAGAAGAGCCTATCCTGCCACATATGTTTTCATGCATGCCTTAATGAGGCATTAATTATGCAATACGGCAGGGAAGATGCAGAGATGCAGCCTCAGCACAATATCGATGCAGGTGGCTTCTTCACTGCACGCAGCAAAAAGGACAAAGTGTGAGAGAAAGAGGGCAAATGTGAAGATTTCAAGGAAATGTGTCAACTTTTGATCTCGCCCTTGGCGTCCAGCAGACACCCTCGAAAAAGTTCACGAGCGATGCAGTTACTTATTCCTTAGTCAGCTCTCCTTAAGGCTCTAAATCCTGACCTAAAGTCCATGTGATGTGATCATTAGCGAGCATAACTGAATGTAAAGCAATCCCTGCAGGCAGAAACCCTCATTCTACCTCACTATCATCATCATCCTAACATCCTAACATCCTCCATCGTTAATCTCTCTAAGAATAGCCTGTATTGTTTTCTCCTCAAGCTCCAGACGTGATTTGCAGTCAAAATAAAAACACGATTAATTCCAGTCTAAAAATGTACCGAGAGTCAAAATATCTTAATTTCCTTTGAGAGATGATGCAGAAGGTTCAAGAAAGCCAGGTGGTTAGGAAGCGGATTAATGCAGATGACATAATTCTAAATCCTTCGGTCCCATCCAGAAATAAATATATCAATTCACTCACAATACTGCAATGTTAATCTTTGTGCAGACTGATGACTTTCAGTGTACGGTAAATTTAGACGTAAATAATCTCCGACATGAAAACTCCCCACACATGTTGGTTCTATTCAGAGGAAGGAGGTGCTCTTTTCAGCGGCTTGTTTGTGTGTGTTTGGGAGTTTACTGGGCTCTTCCTCATCCCTTGTATCTGTATACTTACAGTTAGTTTAAACGCATTTTCTGGTCATGTTCCATCACTTCTCCTCCATCTGCATCGTCATTAGAGACAGAGCGATTAAAGGGACCGTGTGTGTGTGTGTGTGTGTGTGTGTGTGGGCAGGGGCTTACCAGATAAAGGAGTGAAGTATGCTAGTGTGATGGTCAATGGAAGCTTAACCAGTAAAGCATGTGGATCCAGAGGAAAGCTAAACAGCTGGTCAGGTCCACCTCATGCCCTCTGACCTTTCGGGGCTTGCAATTAAAAATAGACATAATGAGCCCTCGACTTAACTTTGTACTTCATACTGCATCACCTGCAAAACTTGATATTGCTAAAACTATGCTGTTATTCACACATTCAGTTAATTTAAAAGAGCTGCTTAAAGACAAAGTCTGCTTTTGTTTTGTTACACCCTCTCACATATGGCCCTTCAGATGTTCAATTTTATTGTGACTGTATTTCTATTGAACACTAACGGGGAATATTTGCCATCTATACAAGACGCAGATTGTGTCCCTGGCTGAAAAAAAATGTGAGTTGGTAGCTATATGAAAAAAAAAAGTTTTAAACATTGAAAAACTGTTTCACAATCTTGAAAATATATATATTTGAAGAGTTGTAATTCTACACTTGAACTTTCACTCTTCATTCCAAGTGTGTTGTAGACGGTTGTATTACAGCCTGTCCTGTACAGCATCTGACGCGAGTGAGCCTCCTCTACATAAAAAAACCTTCTTTTGTTCCCTATTGGAGTATCCAAACTGTCTGCGAGCAACGCAGCGCCGTTTTTACCCGACGACTCGTTTCTATTTTCCTCTCTGACGCCCGCGTAGACGAATGAAGAATGAGTAAAGGAGGGGGCTCTACAAGGCACTGACAGTCCCTTTTCTCACTCAACAGATCTTGCTAGCTTGTTGTACAAAGGGGAGATAGTGGAGCATTCATTATATCCACATCTGTGGTTGAAATGTTGAGCCGTTTATTGACGAGCCTCTGAGTGTTGTGATTTGAGTCAACAGCTCGTCAATAAAAAGCACCACACTTAAATTTTTCCACCCTCAATACAAAAGCACTAAATGTCATATTGTTTGCGAGAGTAAACTGAAATTCTCAGAACCAAGAATTCAATATTTAACACAAGCAGTGTGGACAGCATGCGCGATGCGACGCGATATACACCGCTTGTGTACTGTTAGGACACTGTGTTAGTGAGCTTACTTATATTGTGTTTTTTGTTTTGTTTTCTGGCTGAATATGAAATGGTATAGGCCTGGGGTTTAAAAGAAAACAGTCCCTTGACTTCTATGTGGCGGTGCATGATGATGCATTCGTATCAAATATTCTGTTTTGAACTGATTTACAGTAAATTTCATTTTCTCTATTGTTACCTATTTCCTTACCAGGCATCACTACTGTGCTGACCATGACCACGCTGAGTACCATTGCCAGGAAATCCCTTCCAAAAGTTTCCTATGTGACCGCCATGGACCTGTTTGTGTCCGTCTGCTTCATCTTTGTTTTCGCTGCACTCATAGAGTACGGCACACTGCACTACTTTGTCAGCAACAGGAAGCCGAGCGCCAAAAAGGACAAGAAGAAGAAAAACCCGGTGAGTGTCTTTCTAGGACTCTCTTTTGAAATGATCACCTCAGTGTTTGACCAGTATCTCTGTTTTGCACCACAGGTTCAAACGTAATCATAATGTTTTCTCTACTGGCATATGTCTATCTTCAGTGTGAACATTATCCTCTATTTAGGTGAAAGATCAAGTTCTTCCTACACACTCTCCGCCCCTCCCCTCCCTTCCACTCTGCATTAGAGTACTTAGATAATCCTTTGGAAAAAAAAAAAAAAAGCTATACACTGTTTAGTATCCCTAAGGGAGCATCTTCCCGGGGGTCACTTCGTAGAATTACTCAATGAGCAAGCGTGTAGCTCCAACCTTTTCATAATCCACTGCACATCTGTTACAGTTGTAATTTAGACCCGTGTCACATGACAGGAGAGTAGGCCTCACGTTAGCCTCATGTAAGGTTTAAATCCATCAGGAGATAAAGGCCTGGTTGAAGGATGCGGTGTCTCTACAGATATATGAGCACTTAGAGAACTGAATAAATTTACCTTTGGCTTGAAGATTAACTCTTCTCTCTAATGATCTACGAGTTGGTTTATGAATCTTGATTTTAATAAAATAAATTGTAATCGGTTCCAAGCCCAACTGGTGGATGTTTGATATGTTTTACGATTATAGACTTTAAAAAAAGGTGGATGTAAATGGGAGGTAATGGGAGGTACCCATCTTGGATTTTTGGACATCAAGTTGAATACTCATTGCCACAACTCTACCCATGTTGACAGGTCACTGTCAGAACTACTTCTCAATCATAGGTACCTCTCTTTATCATCTAGTTGATTCTCAATAGCATCATCAATTTAAAATAAACAGTACACAGTTTCGGGGAAGATTTTTAATTAGTAATTGAGAGCTCAAACAATCAGATTTGTTGTTTTTTTTTTACAACCGCATCGTTCTGGCCATTTGAAAGAATGCAAGTTTGAGGCTATCCGCATTTGATTACATCCTTATTTGTATTCAGTCTTGTGATGCTTTTCAAAGGTATCTATGTAAGTAACTGCAAACCGTATTTGGAGTCATGGCATCTTATTTTAAATGTATTCATTATCTGTATATATCTAGTTGACTATTCTTGAGTTAACATTTGCATTGAATTGGAATTGGGGGGATGATTGAGCAGTCTAGTCTCAGCCTCTGGAACTAAGGTTTAGCACATGGATTTACTGTATCATGGGCTAATCTGTACTTCTTTCCAAGATGCACGAATGAGTTAGTGTGAAAGAGAAAAGGAGGGCTATGACTGAGACTCTTTTTTTTTATGCCAATGAATTAAAAAAATCTGTTCATCAAGGAAATAAATGAAGCTTTTTGAAGTTTCTTTTCATCATGTTCGGTTCTTATTTCCACTTTTTCACTGCCACAGCTCTGTTGTTCCACATGATCTAATACAATGCAGTTATTTGTCACAGGTTTTTTTTTTTTTTTTTTTACAAGATTTAAGTATCAGTGTGTTTCATTTCTTTTACAACATCCGCTGATTTTGAGGTTGAAGTTTTGAAAAAGACAAATGTTTCCAACCTAATGTGAAATCTTAACCGTTCTACACTCACAGGGAATATTTACAACTCTGCATTTTGGATTGTGTATGTGAAGCTCTCCAGCTTTGCTCTATGTGTGCAATGTTATATTTCTCCTAAGGTGATGCTGGCGTAAGAAAGCATGTGAGATATATATATTACCCACCATGCATCTCCCCTTGTCTCTGTTTACAACATGTATGTCTCTCTACAGAATATTTCTTCTCTTTCCATTTGAATACAGACTGTACTGTGCTTGTAACTTTCACACATTATCTCGTGTTTCTGTTCCCTTTTCTTTTTATTGATGTTTTTCTTTATCTGTTTACATGTATTCTTTGTTTTTTTTTTTTACTCTCTTCCAACTCCACATATTCTTTGTTTCCTGTCTGGACAAAAGCTCCTCCGGCTCTTTTCCTCAAAGGTATATTGCCTGTGTCTGACTGCATGTTTCTGATGCATTTTGGCTCTTTGAGCCGCAAGCACCTCACTGCTTTTCTGTCTGTTCTCTAGCAGACACGCCTTCCTCTATTCCTTCTTTATCTACCTGCATTCCCTTATAACTTACCAAATAGATAACATTTTAAAAAGGGGGGCACTCTGAAGTGCACAGTGCGGAGGCAGCCAGCCAGACAGACTTAAGCCGTTTTAAAAAATTCAAATAAGCATCCCACACACCCCATCTCCAGAGGAATGTATTAGTTCAGGCCCAGTGTGGACTCATTCTGGCTTCCTCTGTCCTGTTTCACTCTTTTTGTCGTTGTTGTAACCACAGTGAACTAGCACCTGCTGCAATAGCTTCCTCTTCTGTCCCTCCTCTTGCCATTAAACCTTTACCTGTGTGTTTGTTGGGCTTCTCAACCTGACGCTTCCTACAGAGTCAGCAGAGCCTTAACAGACTGAAACAGACAACCCCTGCTCTGTGTTAAGTCTAATTATACTTTGGAGGTCCATTCAGAAGATTAGCGCATGTTAATCTTTAAACACCCAAAAAGCATCTAGGGTGGGCAGGAGCAAGCAAAGATCTAAATTTAACCAAACACGCTACTCCAGGCAGGATAATCTGCTTTTCCACATTGAGGTCACATGTAGTTAGAAGTTTATTTAGTCTCTTTTTTTTTGCCAGGAGGGATTTTTTTTTTTTTTTAGGTTAAATCAGCTAGAGTTTCAAACAACACATGATGGTAAATGTGCTGCAAAAACAAATCCACCTGCAGTATTCAAACACTACAATCAAATATTTAGTTTCAGCCAGATAAGCAAGGGATCTTCCAGTAATTGTCCAGGCTGTTTTCAGGCTCTCTTTATCTCCGGGAGGTTGTCTACTTTCAGCCGGTTAAAGTTGCCAATGCCACTGTTTTGTTTATCTGTTGTTTTCTTTGATATGATTTTTGCCAATACCGACTCAGCACAGCCCAGCTTGACCAGGCCATGCGGCAGGATGCTCTTAATGCTCCTCCTGCTAGAGCTTTCCACTGCGCTTTCCTCCAGTGCAACCAATCCCCTTTGAGAACTGAGTCATAACCTGCTCCAGCTAATCCCCTCATTAACTCAACATACTGTCCGCTCAATAAGGACAAAAATGCTGAAACTAACCCCCCCATGTTGTTTCGTTAGTGGTTATGTGTCGTTTTCAAAGGGACAGCAGGTTTGTGCACTAGTGCTGTGCGAGACGAGAAGTTCTAAGGATTGAACAGTCCAATCAAGTTTAAGTATTTTAAGCTTGTTTGAGGATGCATGCTTTCTGCAGATAAAGTTATGTTCCAGCTAAAACTGCAATGACCTAATTTTTTGCAGCAAGCATGCGACGATATTGCAGAAACGGGGGCAAAACGTTCATGCGGAAAAACGGGGGGGGGGGGGGGGTTGTAATTCCTGATTCTTTTGGTTTAAAACAGCTGATTAAAATTAACAAGGATGTTGTATTGTCACAACACAGAGCATAAATACATGCCGTAAAGCACATTTGGAGTGCAAGTGCAGTGATTTTTTTTTTTAGTAATTGTTCCTCTGTTACAAAGAAAAAACATTCATGCCAGCCCCGAGCACTTTCTGAGGGAAAGTGGTGAAGGAAAATGATTTCAAGTTGAACTCTGGAGCATGCTTGACTCACTGTGTCTTCTTTAAATGATGAGCTTGACACCCTAGTTTATCAGCAAGGTCAAGGAATGTTCCATTGCTGCCAAAGGCGAGGGGGAAAGCATTTAATCTGCCAAACAGCAAGAGTTCCAATTTGTCCAAAGGTGTCATGGTTTTTCAAGATAAAAGCTGATGAAAACATTCAGTTTGAATGCTAATTGTCTCCTCTTCGAAGTGACAGGGCTGCAGACTCACTGATGTCACTGGCCTATTTTAAGGAAGCCTCACAAATGAAAGGCATGTGCCCTCCAGTGGTGAGCACAGTTTGCAAAGGAGATTTATTTTAACCCATTTAGTGACAGAGCGAGTGGGCTGGAGAAATATTGAGCTGTGTGCTGCACATCTGCCAACACATGCTCCTCCCTAAGCCTGGCTTTATGATGCATCATAAGCCAGTTACAACATGTCTTGAAAATGTATTTCCGGAAGAAAAAATAAATGCTTACAAGAGCCATGCAGGTCCAAATTGTGCCATTTTGTTGAGTCACTGAGCACTATAAAGCTTTTTAACACTCTGCTTAGGCTTATGTCGCAGAGTGTTTTCATTGCATTTGGAATTGTTTTCCAAAAACAGTAGCATAATTAGATTAGACGTTGAGTGGCATTGCCCAGCACCATCTTAATATGGCTGCTAAATAAAGCAATGTGAACTACTCTTCTGAAAGAAATATGACTGCATCAGCAACCAGCTCTACTCCAGCCCTAAGGTGCAATTGTCATCACTGGTCTCCACAGGGACTGACCCCTGTCACTAAAAGCCTCACTAATTACAGCCACAGTAGGTAGTTAATGGATATGTATGTCCTAAACGTTAAAAGGATCCATTGGCAAGTTGAAGGTGCAAATTACACTGTGCTGACGAATGACAGAAAATGAAGTGTGAGACAGACAAACAGAAGCGTTAATTAGCTCCCCTGTTATGTCACCGAGGTCTTGAATATGGCACTCCAAGGCTTTGGCCGCTAACTGTGTCATTTTTGTCCTGTCAAAAGCAGACACCCACGGTAGACATTCGCCCACGCTCAGCCACGGCCATCCAGATGAACAACGCCACGCACATGCAGGAGCGGGACGAGGAGTACGGCTATGAGTGTCTGGACGGGAAGGACTGCACCAGCTTCTTCTGCTGTTTCGAGGACTGCCGCTCAGGGGCCTGGCGGCACGGGAGGTTGCACATCCGCGTCGCCAAGATAGACTCATACGCACGCATCTTCTTCCCCACTGCGTTTGGTCTCTTCAACCTGGTCTACTGGGTCTCCTATCTCTATCTCTAGGTCGGGATGTGTATCCAGCCTCATCACACAGCTCATTTCATTCTACATGCTCTGTGCCAGCAAGGAACATTTCCAAGGAGGGGACCCACTGCAACAAGAGATGATTTTATTTCAAGCATTTCCTTTAACTCTTCGGTTTCAATCTCTCAGTATTTTTGAGTCATGTCGATGAAAACTTTGACAGACACTGCAAATGTTGTAGCACTACATTTAACTGGTATGAGGAGGTCTGTAGATGTGTTGTGGAAGCGTTGATTGTGTGATCAATTATTAAGAGTCTTAGTTCTCTTTTATAATTTGATTTTTGACTTTTTTTTTTCAAAGGGGTTTTGTACAAATAGCTTATTATTGGACAACATGCATTCCCTCCACTGTAAAAAAAAAAGTTGATAAAAACAGCAAAGCAAATCTCAGAAGACATCTTAAAAAATATAAATATGTTGTATGATTTGTGTTTTCTCTCACTTTACATTCTAAAAAACATTCAATTTGAAGCACTTTAGTAGAGCAATGTTATACCGACACATTACAGTTCATTTGGATGATCATTTATCTTTAATTTGAAATGTATATTTAGTCCAAGTATTGGCACAATTAAACATTTTCTATGTGTGGTCAGAGAGAGAGAGAGAGAATGCTGTTTATGGACAATGCTCAGCTGTACAGACACTGTATAAATTTTACTATTTCATAGTGGTTTACATTTATTGCATGCACCTTTCAGGCCAAAAATCGACATGTTTTATGTTATTCTTTGTTGGCTATGGAAACTACAAAAAAAAGAGCACTGTTGATTATCATTCGAGATTGAAATATAACTTTTTCTAGAAAAACTGGAAAATCTCCCTCCTCCTAAAAAAAAAAAGTGCCCAGTTCATCTTTTTAAGTTGAGAAGTCGTCTTTGAGTAGAAGTGGGAGCGACACATGATATCATCCCAGACGGTTGGTTTAATGATTTTCCCTCGCAGCCGTTAGCTTACTGTATAGACAACACTGACCTCTCACCCCCCTCCTCCACATTGTGTTCAAAGTGAGCATTTGCATAATGACACACTGCTGTTGTGTTTTTTTTTGTTATGCAAGCTTTCACCAGAGAAACAGCACCAAAAAGAGAGTTTGATTTTGCAGCTTAAAAGCAAACAACAAAAAACAAAAAGGATTTGTTTGCCCTTTACATTAGCAGAGTGATAACGACCGTTGCGCTTTTGCCTTAGAGTACAGGAATTTTAACTAATCTACTCTTCAATGCAAACGTCAATACAGACAACTGTCAGGAACTTTGCAATCTCCGCAAGAGACTGTGTCATTCCACTTTATTGAGCAACAAAACAAAAATGCAAAAATAGGAATGAATACAAATTACAGCTGTAAGTTAGGAGCTTCATTTGAACAACATTAGCTTTTTTTTTTTGTAAAGAGAAACAATGAGAATGTAATAAATGTCACTTTGTGTGGAAATTGATTTTACTGGCTGGGCAACAAGTCATTGATTTTTTTTATTAGTTTTCACTTTTTTTCCCCCCATTAAAAAAAAAAAGAGCTCTGAAAGCGGTTATGTATGGTGCATGGAGCGCAGTGAACGCAGCGGGAGAATCTGAATTGCAAATGCCGTGTATGATAACATGTAACACACATGATTAGCAGCCCCTTACAGATGAACCCCAACAGACACCAGTATGCAACAAACTAAAGGCCATGCGTCAGTAGGATTTGTAAAGTCCAACAGGGAGAGGTGTAAATCACGTTCTTTATGTACATAAATGATTAAAGGAAGAAAACACTCGTCTAGCCCTTGGGATTTTGTCAAAGGGTCTATATTTTGTTATTTCAGCATTGTTACAGTATATCATCATACAGTATCAGACTTATTGTATGATGCTGGACTGACCATAGAGGAAGCTCTGGGATGTAATGGGGTATTTATTTATTTATTCATTCATAATGCTATTTACTTATTTTTTTATTTTTTGAATAAAAGTTGTCATTGTTTTTGTTCATAGAGCCCCTGAAAAGAAACACAGAATGCTGTCACTTATATCAATGAGACATTTTTGTAGGTTTGTCAATGGAGCTTGAGCCTATTTATCTTGTGTTTTCTATGTTGTGATCGATGTATACACTAATCTCACACAGGCCTGTCACACTATTATATCTGTTGAATTAGTGAGTTACAACATTCTCTGTTGTGCAACTTCTGAATGGTAGACTTGAACATTTTCAGAAGGGGGTTGGGGGGATACATTTAAAAAAAAAAAAGCCACCAGAGGAAGAACATTTTGCTCGTTTGAGTTTTTCACTGCCACAACTTTTCATTGGTCCAGATGCTTTCCATCATTAAACAGCATCAGTGATGGTTATGAGCGTAATACATTTTACCAGCTTCTCTCATATTTTTCCGAACTTCATTCCCTTTTGTTGTTTAACGGTGGTCCTTGTTGTGTTCTGAAGCTGCTACTTCCTTGTCCGAACCCTGTCTTCAGTGTGCACATCCTCTATCTCTCACATCTTTAGGGACACGTGTGTGTGTGTGTGTCAATAGCAACATAGACTTGGTCATAATCAGTGTCCAGTAGCTTAACGAAGTGTCCAAGAGTGATGACATCCTATAAAGTGCCAAACAGACACACATGCAATAGAGAATATCAAAGTGTATTATCATTTGTGAATGCACTTCTACTGCTAAGTGCAAGACGAGACGTGTGGAGAGGTGTTTTCTAGAGGAGCTGCTACACAGGGAATGTTAGCTTAAAGTCTCCACGGTCATTGAAATGTTTTTGTTCTTTTTTATTTTCATGTTATAGAACCAAAAGCTTCAGAACAGCAGTTCAAATATAGGCCAGACGAATCAAAAAAAAAAGATGATAATTTTGATATCAGGGTGAAGTAGAAGACATCTCTGCTTCAGACTGTATCTGACTTTGTTTACAAACCCATAACACTGCGAACCAAGCTTATTTTCTTCTTGTTTTTTTATGACATTGGTGCAAAAAAAAAATGAGGTTTTGTTTTTCCATAACGGTTAAAGCTTGTTTATAGTATGTTTACTCTATGTTTAGTGCACTCTACTGTAAATGCAAAGATATCATGGTGAATGGAAGTTAATGAAACATGTTTATATTCAGTAGTGTGCATGATGATTATGTTTTTTCTTTTTCTTTTCTTTTTTTTCTTTTGTCAAACTGGGATGTTTTGAAGGTTTGGATCCAATTCAAGCATTGTTTCAATTCATTTTTAGTCCTTTGACTTGCATTGACACGGACTTTTTATTCCACTGTACTTACTCCAGGCAAAAGTGATGACTTTCTTTCTTTTTGGGGACCCACAAATGAGACTTATATGTGAACAGCACATGTAGATATTTTCTATTGTTATGTACTTTGTCAAACAACAGAAAACAAAACAAACGCACTGAAACTACAGGAGCTCAGTCAAAAAGGTATGGCAGAACAAAATAAATTTCATAATGATCCTCATACATACAGTATGTTAGTTGTTTACCATCTATGTATATTTGAGTATTGTATAAAAACGGGCACTGATCCATTCTGCTTGGGTCTGCATAATATATTATACATGTACTGGAAAAAATCCTTTTCATAAGGGAATTGCACATAGCTGTGGAATTTTACAATAAAATGGTTGCATTTATCAAAGTTTATAGTTCCATCATTATTATTTCAAGAGTTTCTCAGCTGTTTTGATGTGGTGGGATTCTATATTTTTTGTTCACTAAATACAGAGAAAGTGGAGTCAGTGTTACCTCTTTAAAGGCAGAATCAGAAATCAAGTGTATCCTCTGTGAATGTCTCTCTGAGTTAGGACTGTCTACAATGAGTGAGAAGTGTGCGTCCCGTCAGCTGTATTGTTGTCAGAGCCGTGTAACATGGACAGGACGACCCTGCATATAAAACTGTTTTTAGACATGCTCACTGCTTATTTGGATGTCACGTAGGTGTCTTTACATCACGGTCATTCCATGTCAATTTATGTGCAATTTGAGGCTATGAGATAACCAAAGTGTGCTAACATTAGCCTGCTAGCACAACAATGCAGGCCACAGGCAATTGCAGCTGGAGCAAAGTACAAAGTATGTCCGCAGCTTGAGCTTAATGGTGCTTAATTATGGTGTGTTCTAATTCATAACTCCTTCCACTGGAGGAGAGCGGAGGCTTCAGAATAGTGAGGTGTCACCAAACAGCAGTTTGTTTTGGTTTGATGCTGGTGCTCAAGCTCTACAGGAGAAAAAAGTCACACATTCTTCCTTTAACATATAGTTTGTAAAGTATGTAAAGTATTGCTCAAGGGCAGAAACATAATCATGAAAACATTTGTGTTGTTCACACACATTTGTTGACAATCTGTTTTTTATTGTTTCATGCTCTTTGTATAATTTTACCCTTTGGGGCCTTCAAATGAAGGTTAGCAGTGATGTGGAACAGCAAACATCCCATAATTATTTGGAATATAACAAGAGGCCTTGTACTGCTTTTTTTTTGATGGGCCAAAAAGACTAAAAAGCCATGTGTTATTTATTAATGTGGCTTATCCAGGGTTCTGACATTAATCATATTTGAAAAAGAAAGCAGAGTAATAAGAACAGTTTTTCAAGGACTGTAGCTACTTTCCTTTCCAATGCTTTTGGACAATTTGTCAGGAGCTCTGATCGAGGGAGTCTCTCTTAAACTCAAATGGACTCAAAGCTTCAGATGATGTGATGGGAAACCTGCTGTCTCTGAATGGCAGCAATCAGGTGACTGGGAAATGACCTAGTGTTAAACAAAACTTAGAGTTCAAAGTTGTATTGTATCAGTCTGTATCTGTATAAATACTGTATTGATAAATTGAAAGACAGTATCTAATTAATTAAGCACCTCAAAATAGTGATAGAAGACATATTTATTCTGCTCTAAACTACTAAATCCCAGAAAGGCAATTCAGTTTACAGCCTAACAAAGATTTAATAATAGATTTATGTTGACATATCACTGAGTTTACATTGCTTTTAATAGCTAGTATTAAATCCACTACAGTACAATCATTAGATTCACACAACTCAATTTTAATAATAATTTCTTGTCTAGAAAAGACTGATAGACATTATTTGTATATTTCCGCCTTATATGGGAGCAAAACACATGAAATAGTCCCTCCGTTAACTGAGTCAGGTTGCCAAATTTACACTTCAGCACTTGTCACTCACCGTGATGAGCAGCTGTCAACAATGAAAGTGCATCTATTCTCAGGCCGGGGTAACCCGAATCTCTGAAGCCAGCAGAGGTTTCGAAGTGCACAGCAGCTGTTATGTGTGTTAAAATACAAGTTTGCATTGCAAAGGACTACTCCACAGTGTCAACTTTGCACAACTTGTTGTCAACACATCTCATTTTCATACTAACCTGCCTTTAGGGAAACGGCTAAGAACATAACTCTACCAACAACATATTTTTTAATTAATAGGCCAGTTGTGGGACAGGAACAGCCTGTTATAGTCTTGCCCAGTGACTCTTCCTTCCAGGAAAGTGCACTTAAAACACAGCAGCAGTTGGCTGATGGACCCCATGCGCTGGCACTTTTCCCTCCACTGGGCAGGGTGGCAGCTGCAGAGGACAGCCAGCGAATCCCTCTGATTATTACACAACCGTCTGCAGTGTACCACCGCAGCGCGCTGTCATCACTGGCCCTTTCATCAGCTGAGGTACACACTCCTCAGCGAGAGCAGAGCGGGGAGTGCAGGGACTCCTGCATGAATAATTCAGTCTGCACATGGCTCAATTTTTGTAGGACTTCACCCCTATGCCTTTCATCACTCAGTGCAATGAGATATCCACAGTATAAATATATTGCAACACTTTTTTTGATAAAACAGCAAAATGTTATACATTTTCATCAGGATGCTGAAAAGTATCAGACAACTCGTGATGTTTGCCTACAAAACAGTGAACCACAGATGTTTTCTAAAACTCCTGAACAGTGACCAGGCGGGCTCCTTCTTTTAGTTCTCTTTTTGTCTACAATGCATATATGTATGAATATTTATGCTGCTAACAATTCAAATGAATCGGCCCTGGTTGCAAGTATCTGTGCATTCAAAACCTGATACACTTAAGTCTTCAAACAGTTCATCATTGTCATAAACATATTACAACTACATCAATTAATCTCTCAACTACACTTAAGAGAGTCCCATGCTCCATCATTGCCATCACCTGTGCAGTTTATTTGAGTAAATACTATATTGCTGTCATAATCTAAAAGTGTACAAATAGAAAAGTTAAAAACATAAGAAGAACCAAAAACACAAGACTATTGGGGGGGTTGGGGGGTAAAACCAAAGGTAGTGGATGCAGGTATAGATTTCTCTCCTGGACAAAACCAAGGTAAACGATTGAAGCAGACGACCCTCCAATGGCATCCATCTAAGCATGGCCAGAGTAGCCCCATGATCCATGTGCAGGGCATCACAGCACATATACTGTATGAAATATACAAATCAAATATACAGTTGCCTCTGTAAAGATGTTCGTCTCATGTAAAAGTTTGAATAATTGGAAGAAGAAGAAAAGTCAAAAACAGGTACAGCGCTGCAGCTCAGTTGACTTTGCAATCACATACGTAGAATTTCTATGATGCACCTACATGAAAGGGAATTATAAAATCTCAAAGATGCCTTCAAGCATGCTGAAAAAGAATGTGATTACAGTCTGGTCTTTGATGATAAGATATCTGTTCATGATGTTTAAAAAGACACTACAACTAAAGATAACCAAGCTGTTACATCAGTACCCGACTGACTTCATTAGAGATGACATTTAATGACTTTTGATCTATTCAATCAATCATGCACCATGTAAAATGTCAGCCATAAAATAATTTGACCTTTCTCTTTAATTTGGACTCCACCTCTGTGTCACTGAGGCCTGCTTGGAGTGTCCATGTACCGTGTGATTTAAGGTGTTTTCAGTTTGCTGATGTTTCTGCCAGTGTTTACAAAACACATTTAACTGTGCGTGCATGTCTCTGCCTGGTTTCCTACACTCCTCATTAACAGCTCCAAAGTAATCTGCTCGGGCTCAGCAGAAGTGTGAGCGGGGTAACGGAGGATGGTTGCATAACCTCTTCTTTTAGCAACAACAAAAAAAAGAAAAACTCAGAACAAACAGGGATTAATTACCAGGGCTTACTGTCAAAATACTCTTCTCAGTAATCATCATGAATGAAATGGAAGGAAATACAAAAATACTGGCCTTTTTTTTTTGTTGGTGTGTATCACATTAAAATTCTCTAATCTTATAAATGGAACCCGACCAATCACAGTAAAAAATGTCCCACTCTAGAGTCCCAAATCTCATAATGCTGTTTAATATCTCCAACTTCAAAATGCCAAAGTGTACGAACCCGAGAGATTTAGGGTGCGTAAAAGACAAACTGAGGCTTAATTTTTTGGTCTCGTTCATTAATAATTCTGCAAAGTTGTCTGACATTCATCGTTTCTTAAATTCCCTCCCAAGTTCTACTCCTCACAGCTGCATCTGCCTGCACTCTTCTCTGTAATGACACATATACCACACTGGTCTCAATCTTCCAGTGATTACAGATCCAGACAATATTTGGTCAATTCTTTAAAATAAATGTGTTTTTATTTTAAGATGTCATCAATCAAATCAAATCTAATAAAAATGATATGGCAATTTATGAAAAACATCAAATATACAGTATATATGTTTTTACACAAGTATAATCCCAAGTGTTTTGATGTGTTCTAAGTGTTTTATTTTACTTTTTACAGATTTTCATACAATATTTTTTTCTAACTTTTCATTGTAATTTTTTAGTCCTGCAAAATTTGATCCATTTTTGTCAATTTTTTTTTTTTTTTACTGGATCTGCTGGTTCATATTTGAAACACTCTTGGCTTCATGTTTGTATAAAGCATAGTTAACTTTTTATCCATTAAATTAATAAAAAGTCAAGTATTTCTTTACAAATAAGTATTTTAAGTGCAAACATGTCTACTGCAGATGTAATAGTTAATGGATAGGAGACAGGACCGTGATCAAACAAACAACACTGGTAGGAAAACCCCCCAAAACTTTGTGTGCGCGTGTGCGTGAGTGCATTTCAGTGTGTGCATGTGCATTTGTGTGTGTGTGTGCGTGTGTGTGTGACAGTTAAGGACTGGAAAAGCTGTCAGGCTAGCAATAATGTCTAATGTCCCAAAACGTCTTCTTAAATACCATCTAGGTCTTTATATTTCATAGAGTCCCTGTTGTGTTTTCAGGTTTGAATAGACCTTTATTTATAGCTGCTAATTGAGCCTTTTGGGAATTAGAGAAAAGAAAAACAAGCCATAATGAAGGCACTCCAATCTTTAAAAACACCACTGAACTTAACCAAAGCATACAGAGGCAGATTTAGTCTATAAATGTGTTAGAAATGTGATGCATTTGAGAGTTTAAAATATAGTTTTTTGTCTTTTTTTGTGCAGCACAAATCTATCCGACTCAAAGGAGTTTTTACATCTACACCATTATAATGCAAATGCTAAAACCTGACACAGTATGACGTCCTTACACAATGTCTTTTTGTAGACAAGGTACATTTACCAGGAAGGGAACACACCATAAAGCACAGGCTTTATCTGCAACTCAAGGTCAAT